TAAATAAACAAACAAATAAATAAATAAACCCTTTAAATTCTATAATGCTAGTATTAGTAATTCCACTAATAGATATAATTAGGTCATATTTCTCAAAATCAAAACACTAAAAATGCCATCAACTTACATATAGTTAAATATATTTTCTAAGGGTATTTAACACTATGGGAAAATGCCTWTGTTTTAATGGAAACTAAACAAAGTGGGATCATATGGGGTAATGGAAATTTTGACATCAAATCCATATATGTGGCCAGGTACTGTGGTGCACATATATAATCCCAGCTACTCGGGAGGCTAAGGCTAGAGGATTSCAATTTCGAGGCCAACCTGGGCAGCTTAGTGAGAACTTGTCTCAGAATAAAAACAATTTTTTTAAAGTGCTGGGGCTATGACTCAGTGGTAAAGCACATGCCTAGCATGCATGAGATTCAATTCCTCGTACTGCAAAAATCAAAAACATATATGTGGTGCTTAAAAAAATAGGAAAAAGAAAGCATTTTAATTATCACCCTTTTTGAATTTTTTTTTTTTTTAGTTATAGATGGACAGAGTACCTTTTATTTTATTTTTATGTCCTGAGGATCAAACCCAGTGCCTCACACGTGATAGGCAATTGCTCTACCACTGAGCCACGACCCCAATCCCCTCTTTTTTTTTTTTTTTAGGAGAGAAAAAAAAAAAAAGATCATTCTATTCTGCTGACATTTAATACCAGAGAACATTAAAACTGATTAAGTTCAATTAATTTGGAATTATATATAATATTGTGTTAAGGCCAGTGAGACTGGATGTCGTGCTTAAGAATGAAGAAAATCAAAGGGAACCAGTAAGAAGAGCGTGTCCAAGAGAGATGGCCCAGTAGGGAGGAGGCAGGGCACAGACCTACAAACCTAGGATGATCAAATATAAACCATCCACAGGGCCCTGTCTCCACCCTGCCCTCTCTCTCTCTCCCTTTTACTCTCTCTCTCTCTCTCTCTCTCTCTCTCTCTCTCTCTCTCTCTCTCTCACACACACACACACACACACACACACACACACATGCCTGCTGTTGGAGAAGCTCTCTGAATCGACAAGAACACGCACTCTTCTGCAGATACAAGTACTTAAGTTGAAAGAAACGCTGTTCACATCAAATCCCTGTCGAGGGAGCATCTGCGGGAACAGGCGGGCTGCCGTTTGCAGGGGAYATCAGAGACGTCTTAGAAGTTGGGATCGGTTATTCTAGAGATTTGCAACACAAATCTTGTTGCAAACAGCCCAAATGCCTTGGGTGGAGATCGCCAATCAACACCATCAGAGCGCTCCCTGAGCGGCAACGGCCAGGTCACTGAATTATTTATTGGAGTTCTAATTTAAAAGAAGGGAACCAGTTTAAAAAAAAAATTAAAAGGCAGGGTAAGGAAGCAGGCAAGTACTAGCTGAAAGAACAGGCTGTTATTTACAAAGGACACCAGGACTGCACAGGTGCAGATCTGTAATGTGATCAGAGAGGCAGCCGACCAGCCAATTAAGCCAAGGGCTTCAGCAAAGATCAAAAACAAAAGTAATTGACTATGGCAGGCCCAAGATACTGAGCAAGCCCTGCTGGCTTCTGTTGGTCCCAGACCTGCCACCCTAGAAAGAGCTTTGGACTGCTGGGTCAAAGGAGGTCTCAACYCTCCCAACCTGAGTCTCCTATCTTGAATTTCCCAGGCTTGAGAACTCTATGGGGTTAAAACCCTCCAAGGAATCTGCTTTAAGTGAGAAGGAAATGTCCCAGATTTGGAATCAGGCAAGTGCTGCACACCTGGGAGAAGTAGCAGGGTTCCCTGGCCCAGTCTGATAGAAATAGATCCATTCAGCAGTTCAGTAATTCAGCTGCACCTGGAGAGAACCCAAGAGGCTATTCGACACCTGTAAGCGCCCTGCCTGGTGTGGATTTCAGGAACCTGGGGGCCTTTGATTCTTATGTGGCCACTCCCTTCCACAAGTCAGGGCGACATAAGCTCTGAGGTGGCTGAAAACGTGGGAGTCAGAAAATGCAGAAGGTCTCGCACCTTCTGGTGTCTGAGTCAGATAACGCAGGACACCTGGAACACGCACGTCCTCTTTGCCTGTTTCCTTGAACTCGAAAAAGTGGCCTCAACCATGATGGTAGGGCATTGCCACTATGCCATCTAGGTTAGATGGAGGGCAGGACTATAAATGACAAGGGGACATAGACCCTCCTCGAACCCCCCCCACACACACACACACGGAAAATGGCAGAACCTCTTTTGGATATGAGAAGCAGATGTCAATCTGCTCAGTCCCTTCCATGAGATGGTCCTGCAGTTATCACCATGACAAAACCTGACAGGGGACAGGATCATGCATTAGGAAGCCAATACAGGGAAGGAAATCCTCTGAGAGATGAGAAGGGAGCAGAAATAGACTTGCTTGTTGCAGCCACAGCTTCCTTAGCAAAGATAAGATCAGGATTGGGTTTATTTAAAAAGAGACAGGCGCTGGTGTGTACCCAAGATGTTTGTTCTTATTGTATTTAATCGGCTGACAGGAGCAAGGAAGAAGTTGTTTGGGGTAAACACTGCTTAAGGTAGTAGTCTTTCCTTGTGGAGCAAATTTGTAAACAGGAAACTAAAAATGAACCCAAAAAAACAAAAACCAAACAAAACCCTGGCACATCCGTGGCAAGCCACCCTTCCCAGGGCTTCAGCTGTGTTTTCTTGGAACCACAGGATCTTTGTCAACAGAGCTCTGAGCACCCACTCAGAGGGAGCTCAGGGAAAGAAGGTGAAACTGGCCACTGTCATACCCCAATTCCTAAGAAAAGGGACCTTTACCAGAATGTCATTAAGTCAGTTTAGCTAAACACATTGCAAATCTGGTAGCTCAACACATGTAGACTAAATGTTCCTAAATTAAAAGTGGTTTACAAAAATAAGTTGAGATGGGTCCAAAAAGATATTTGCGATTCGGGTTCTCAGGTCTGGTTGTTCAATGGCGTTACCTGGGAGCCCCGAAAACACACTGGGCCTGAGAGCTGTTCCTATAGACCAGGGAAACCAGAATCTCTGCAAACAGATCATTGGCATTGTTTATAAAGACTTCCAGGCCACCTCAATATGGGTGGGTCAGAGTGAGAAACGGCATGACAGAGCAGGGCCTTCCAAACTGTTCTCCTGGAAGGCCTGATCCCAATGGGTTTGGGCAGGGACTGCAGAACGTCTAACCACTTGCTGGTGATACTGATGCTCTTGACCCACGGGCTCCATCAAGATATTGAGGGTCTCTGTCTCTTGAATTTGGGAACTAGAATGGAGAAGCCTCACCAGCAGCCTACAGTTCAAAGCCTTTCATATTTGGGTAGAAAGACTTTTCCTGATGATGTGTGGGAGTAGGACAGTCAGACAGATGAGCAGACATTCAATGCTATTAATAACAATTTCCTTCCTCAGAAAACTTGAAGTGGAACCACATTTGACCCTGCCTTCCCACTTCTCAGTTTGTACCCCAAAGACTTAAATCAGCAGATTACAGTGACACAGCCACATCAATGTTTATAGAAGCTCAATCCACAATGGCTAAACTATGGAACCAACCTAAGTGTCCTTCAATAGATGGATGGATAAAGAAACTGTAAAATATATATAGTGAAATATTACTCAGCCTTAAAGAAGAATGAAATTATGGCATTTGCTGGTAAATTAATGGAGCTGGAGAATATTATGCTAAGTGAAATAAGCCAATCTCCCAAAAACAAAAGTCAAATGTTTTCTCTGATATGTAGATGCTAATTCACAATAGGGGTGTGGCTAGGGAAGAACAAAGTTACTTTAGATTAGGTAGAGGGGAGTGAAGGGAAGGAACGAGGTATGGAGGTAGGGAGGATAGGAGAATGAATCAGAATCAGACATTATTACCCTATGTGCATATATAACTACACAGGGTGTAATTCTACACCATGTACAGCCAGAAGAATGAGAAGTTATACTCCATTATATATGATGTATCAAACTGCATCTATTGTCATGTATAACTAATTAAAACAAATTTAAAATCATCCTAAATAAATAAACAAATATAACAATTTCCACTGGGTGCCATGGCATAGGCTGTAATCCCCACAGCTCAGGAATCATGGTAGAAGGATTGTAAGTTTGACGCCAGCCTCAACAATTTAGGGAGGCCCTGAGCAACTTAGTGAGACTTTGTCTCAAAAAAAAAAAAAAAAAGAGAAGAAGAAGCGGGTGTCGGGGATGTGGCTCAGTGGTTAAGCACCCCTGGGTCCAATCCCTAGTACCAAAAAATAATTCCAATTTCAACTACATTTTTCTTTGAACACTACTTTAGCTGATGAATGAGTAAGAAAAATGGAGTGTCRTGGAATATTATTCAGTCATAAAAGAATGAAGTCCTGATATGTACTAGAACATGATTTATAAACCTCAAAAATATGCTAAATGAAAGGTACCAGTCACAAAAGACCACATACTGTATGATCCCATTCATATGAAGTGTCAACAATAGGCCCATTTGCAGAGCAGAAGGTGAATCAGTGGCTGGCTGCTTAGGGATAGGGGATAGGGATTTATGAGGTTGTGAAAATGTTCTAAAATTGTATTTTTTTCAAAAAAAAATCACTGAATTATATGTTATGTGAACAATATCTTCATAAACCAGTTTAAATAATTACTGGAAGGTCCTATATGCAAGCAAATATATTAAAATGCATAATATTTTCATGTATTATATATACTATATTTCCATACATGTATGTAATATATAATATAAAGATGATATGAAACCTTTTAGGAGCAAACTGACAAAAAAAAATTAATCCAGCAGAAAAATAGCAGATATGCACAGTTGATTCCCAAGAGGTGACCAGAAGAGCCCATAAAAAGGAGAGAGACTCCTTGGCAGTCAGGGAAATAAACACTGAGGTATCAACAAACATTGTTTCTAAACCACCAGATTGGCAAAAGGTTGCAAAAAAAATGAGTATGCCAAAGCTAGGTGACGTCCAACGTGGAGAAATGAGAATGCTCATAGGCTTCTGGTGGAGAGCAGGTTGGTCCAATATCTTTGGAAAGCAGTAGAGCAGTATCTTCGTAAATTTGAAGTTGTGTGCTTGCTCCCCAGGATTGGCTATTACAGACTTTGAGAAAGTCTCACTCATGCACACGATTATTGTTTTAGTCAACTTTTTCACTGCTGTGACTAAAAGATCTGACCAGGACAATTTTAGGGGAGTAAAAGTTTATTTGGGGGCTCATGGTTTCACAGGTCTCAATCCATGGATAGCTGGCTCCATTCCTCAGGACTCAAGTTGAGGCTGAATATCATGGAGGAATGTGTGGCAGAGGGAAGCCGCTCACATGGTGATCAGAAAGCACAGAGAGAGACTCACTCACCAGGTACAAATGTATACGCCATAGCCACGCCCCCAATGAACCACTTCCTCCAGCCACACCAGTCACCACTCAGTTAATCCCATCAGGGGTCAATTCACTGATTATGTTAAGGCTATACCCCAGTCATTCTCCTCCAAACCTTCTTGCATTGTCTCATATGTGAGCTTTTGGGGGACACCACATCTAAACCATAACAATTATTTTTCCTTCCCCCCCCTGTATTAGTAACCTAAGTGCCATCAACATGGAAATGGATAACTGTGTTGGGATATGTTCATATAATGGAAAGTTAGGCTGCAGATCAAAATAAATGAATTTGAGCTACATGCAATTAACTTTTTAAAATGATTCAAAAAAATTGTTTCCTAGAAAAAGAAGAGACTAAAGAGAGTAAGGGAACAGGAAGGAGTCCAGTTGATAAATACATGGTTTGTATCGATTGGACCTGGCATACCATCATGTCTGGCTGCATACCACTCAGCTGCATTATCAGAGCAAGGCGCAGGGCGAGTCTAGATTTGTGGGGCTGGAAATAGACTCTGTGAAGTTGAATGGCCAAAGGCCTGGATTTAAGGCCTGTCCCTGTGCCTCTTTCCAGACAGTAACCAACTGGAATGGAGCACCCCTAGTGTCATCTCTGGACTGGATCCTGGGGACACAAGGAGGCATCAGCAGGACTCCTGGCTCCTGGAGATCCAGTCCAGTTGGAAGGTCAGGACATTTACAAGTAAGATTAGTAAGATTTGCAACTTGAGGGAATTGACCCATATGCTGGAGGAGAAGTAGGACACAGTGGCCAGTAGAGAAAAGGACATTCTGAGAAGCAGAGGTGGCTTGAAGAAAGACTGGTGGTGGTCATGCCTCTCTACCTTTATAAAATGGGACAACTGCCACCTGACTTGGAGTAACATAAGATATGGGGAAAATGCCTGGCACAGGAAAGTTAATAAATCTAGAAATATAGCTCTAACCCTCACCTCTTTCCACCTCCCCCTCACTGACCAGAGGTAAATGCCCAAGTCACATATTCACTTAGCATGTAACATCCGCTCAGTGAGCTCTGTTGAACCAATGGTGTTGATTGAATAACCCTTGCACAGTGCTTCCCTCAAGAGGTCACTCTGGGTATTGCAACAACTAATAGACTCCCAGGGGCTTTCACATTTGTGGTGATGGGGTCAAATAAAAGCAGGACTCTCAATGAATAAAACCTGGGGAATGGGGTGCAAGATTTATAAATTCTCCCAAAGAAATAAACTGTGAATGTCTGAGTGGGCCTCACCTGGACACTTCATCCTGTGTATCTGTCTCCGGGCCTGGACACCCACTTTCTCCCTGGGCTTTTTTCGATAGAGTCTTGCTACGTTGCCCAGGCTGGCCTCCAACTTCTGGGCTTAAGGCCTGTCCTGCCTCAGCCTCCTGAGTAGCTGGGATGACAGCTGTGAGCTACTGAGATTGCCTCCCCTTTTGATCTATAGTCCAGAATGTTCCCTGGCTTCCTGGACATCTCCCTACAGAAGGCCCCAGACCATTCAAACCAAATAAAGACTTGTCCTTTTTTTCCTCCGGTCCTTTTGAAGCCAGAATTAGACAGGCAGTCAGTATAGACAGGTAAATCGAGTCAGGTCGGTCGAGTTAGGCCAATTYTGAGTAAATTCCTGGAAAGACGAGACTGTTCCTTGAGGGATTGAAATGTTAATTCCTTCAGAGTCCTTCCTCCACCCTTTTCAAGAATCTGTCCCTGCTCCAAACTGTTGCAAAGGTAACCTGTCCCAGGAATTGCCCCTCCTTACAGGGAGCTAGAAAGTTGTTAATTAAGGTGTYCTGGGCTRCACCATCTTGCCCCTCCTCCTTCAGCCCACTGGTTTCCACCTTTGGGCCATCCCACCCAGTGTTCCTGGGCCTAGTCCTGGGCCTAGTCCTAGGCCTAGTCCTGATATGCAGGAAGGAGAAGGATAAGGGGGGAAAGGCAGGAGAACAAAAGAAGCCTAAAACATATAAAAAGGGCAGAACACCTGGCTTCTTAGAATACTAGGATACCAACTATGGCCCCCTTCTCCCTCCCAGGAGAAGTCTATGTTACCCTTTTAAATAAACCCTGCTTTATATGCTTGCCTYGGCRTGCTTCTCCAATGTTCAAACTTCMACGTGTGAGGGAGCAGAACCCGTCGGTATCACTTTCCATCACGAAATTAGGGAATTGTGAAAAAAAAAAATTACATATTTTCTGACTTCTCAAGAAACCTGATGATACTATTTATAGAGAAGAAAACTGGGGGGGGGGGCCTAGAGAGATTAAGTCACTTGCCCAAGGTCATGCAGGTCCAGAATTTGAATCTCCCGCCTGATTCCAAAGTCCTGAAACCAGGGATGGCACTGGGGATGGAASCCAGGGGGCACTTTACCACTGAGCTACATCCCCAGCCCTGTTTATTCTTTATTTTGAAACAGGGTCTCCCTAAATTGCTGAGATCGGTCTTGAACTTGTGATCTTCCTGCCTCAGCTTCCTGAGCTGCTGGGATTACAGATGTAATCTTCGAGGTGCTTTCTCTCCATGCCTATCACTCTTCTTTCTGAAACTTCTTTAAAGCACGGAAGCTCTACCATCCTTTAGAAATATTTCCCCAAGAGCCAAAAGCAAGAARCATGTGTTTGGGCTTTCTTCAGAATATCAGCATCAGAATGACAGAGATGCAAAGATAAACTGAACAAACTTGTTCATAAGTGGGTCTCCAACATTAAAGGAAAGAAAAGAGATCCAGAAGCCACAAAGTTCAGCCTAACATCTCAGAGGATTGAGGCCAGAAATGGAAGGAACACTGCTGAATATCGAAATCTTTGAGTTAAAATGTCAAAGTGGAGGGCTGGGGTTGAGGTTCAGTGGTAGCATGCTTACCTGGCATGTTGAGACTCTTGAGTTCGATCGTCAGGATGGCATATAAACAAACAAACAAACAAACAAATAAATAAAAGATCCATTGACAACTAAAATATATTTTAAAAAAAAGTCAAAGTGGCCGGGCATCGTGGCACATGCCTGTAATTCTAGCAGCTTGGGAGGCTGAGGCAGGAGGATCACCGATTCAAAGCCAGTCTCAGCAACAGTGAGTCACCAAGCACCTCAGTGAGACCCTGTCTCTAAATAAAATACAAAATAGTGCTGGGGATGTGGCTCAGTGTTCAAGTGCCCCTGAATTCAATCCCTAGTGCCCCCCCCCCCAAAAAAAAAAAGGTCAAAATGAAGCCCTGACACTGGTTGACTTCCCAGCACAAACTCAGCTTTGGAAATGTGTGACCCTAAAAACTTGACCAAGGAACAAAGTTCTAAAAAGTTTTTGCAGGAATAATGATGCTATTTTTTCACAAGCAGCCAAGCTATCAAGGGAAATGTCATTCACGGAGAGTGCCCTCTAGTGGGCATGAGGGTCATAGTTCATTGGAACATAGAACACCCCTGGAAAAGCATCTTACTCCAATTAGTTGGATTTCACAGGGGTCTCCTGGGGTTTTGCTGAAACACTGAATTTGTGGGTTCTTAAAAAATCTTCCTTGTTTCAACATTCTTTGCAAATAGCTCCCTTATGCAATCCATTCCATGACTACACAAATTTTCTGCACTACCTACTATTAGGAAAAAAACTGTTGTAACAAAATCTAGTTTTGTATAACAAAATTTTATTCTTTTACAATGATATTGACAGTGTAGACTTATAATTCTTGATAAATACAAAACTGCACATCTCTGTATTGGTTCAATTTAGGTCTCTGATTATTATTAACAAGGAATCCTTAATAAGGTTGTAGAGGTAACTCAAAAYAATGAGGTCAGAAGCATAAATTACAGCCAAATTTTTGAAGAGAAATTTGGGAGTGCCTAATAAAATATAAACCATACATACCTGTGAGCCAGCAATCTCACTTCTAGGATCTTATACTGTATGTTTACTCATGTAAGTGAGCAGAGATATGTGTGCAAAAATGTTTGCTGCAGCAATTCTTATAAAAAAAACCAAATATCTGCAATAAATTAAGGAAAAGTCATAAAATGTGCATGTACTTAAAATGTGAGAGATCCATAAATGTTGCTTAGAAAGTTCTTTAATATTAATGCGATGAAATAAAAAGTTTTAGAACAGCAGTGTCTTAATGTATGCATGAATTTTCATGCACATTCATGAAAATTTGCTAAAAGAATTSTTTAGAGTGACTATATCTCCCACCCTTCCAATAGTAACCACCCACTATTCAAAAGGAGTCAATGTCACTTCAGAGTTAAGACTATAGACTCTTTTTTTTTTTGGGGGGGGGGCTGGTACCAGGAATTGAATTCAGGGACACTMGACCACTAAGCCATATCCCTAGCCCTATTTTGTATTTTATTAAGAGACAGAGTCTCACAGAGTTGTTTAGCACCTCACTATTGCTGAAGCTGGCTTTGAACTCAAGATCCTCCTGCCTCAGCCTCCCATGCTGCTGGGATTACAGGTGTGCACCACCGCACCTGGCAAGACTATAGACTATTAAGCCAAACTGCCTGGGTTCAAATCCTGGCTTTATTAGTTACTATCTATCTCTGTCATTTGAACAAGTTATTTAACATCTTTGTGCCTTAGTTTCCCTATCTGCATATAGATAGTATATTTTGAGGATCAATAAGTCCACATATGC